ATTCTTGTCGATGTATTGGCACTTGGGGCACTTTTCCACAGCAACATGATGAATGATCCTCCTTGCTTCCCTTCTATAGGCCGAAGACATTTGTGGATTGCAGTTGCACCTGGAGGCATACAGACTGACAAAGAAATGCTCACATTATATTGTCAAGGCAATCAACACAATCCACGTGTTTGGCAACATCAGAAATGACAAGACCACAATCAGCGACATCATATCCCAACATTTGCACCATGACATGCAACCCCAGTGCATCAGCGTCAAATTTTGCATGGGTGGCATAGTGGAGGACAAGTTCTCTGCCTCACAGACCATCATCAGCATATACCTCAAGTCAAAATTCCATTCCCAAGAGGGAAATTCATTCCCCTGGTGTGGGATATCTATTCACTTTGAAGACAGTGACAACGCCAAGATTTCAGCCTGAAGACCCACATTGATCAATAAATCTGCATGTCTTTTTCACACTGCATCCAATGCATTGTCATCCATCATGGTGTGAATTACTGTGGCAGCAATTTTTGTGTCTCCATGCTTGCCCATCAATCGTGCACCATTGAGAAGCCATGCCATTTCAGGATGCAATTCAAATATCTTTTTGAGATACAGTGGTCAAGCGCTGCTCTTGCAATTGTAAAAAGCGCAAATGTGTTTTTGTGCAGTGGCAATGTCAATTTCCACACGGGGCAGTTGCACCAGGGGCGGATAGACCAAGTGTACTGTGTTGTCCTGTGCTAGTCCAAGCAACATTTTGATTTACCAAGCAGAAAGGCATCCAGCATGTAAAAATCCAGTGATGAGTGTTCTGTCTTGGAATTCCAGATAAACCCAACAAAATAGGGTGAGTTGATGATGGGCCATGCGCCGTGGCCAGCTCCATGAAAAAGTTCCACATCAAGCAAACCCTGGAGAATGATGGTCTCATGTATTCCTTGGGCGGGTTGCATCAGCAGCTGCAAGGAAAGCGGGTTGATGGTGTACAAAACACCCAAAGTGATGGGTGTCCACTGTTGATGTGTGATCATGGCCATGCACAAGACACACGAGGTCGGTTGGGAATATCCACCCATGACGATCACTGCCACATCCAGAGTATGGTCAGCTGGCAGCCATTTGGCTGACCACTTCTTGCACACTTTCAACAAGTGATATGTGGGAATCCACTTGGCCAACTTGGCGCTCACATCCACAATGTTGATGTACAGCGCCATGAAATTAAATATATCACTCAATATAAAAAGAGGCGCGCCCACAATCTGTGATCCTGTATTCTTCACCTGTATACACACATGCAATGACTCTTGTCGTCCTTTATGCTGTAGTACCGCGATCTCAACATGAAATGCCTGTGCAAAGACCACAGTCAAAGTGCATTGCAATCCAAAAGACTACAAAGCACAAAAAGATTGTGCACCAATGCATCAGGGGACCTTTGCTCATTCCCAGAGAGCGGGGTTGATTTATTCATATTCAGAGTGGATCACAAGCATCACCTGGTAAAAAAGTGAATCCCTGGTCTGCAAGATCTGGCTCTGAGGCAAAAGATGCTGTGACTCTATCACTTGGCCATTTTCAAACGCCGTGTGCAAGCAGTCAAGCGCCAAAAGCATGGCGCACACTCTGACATTCATCATTATCTCAGCGGCAGCGGCAAAATTGCATGATCCACGGCAGGTCAACAACTTGACAGCATTCATATGGCCATTGTGCGCCGCACATCACAATAAAAGTGCCATAAAGTGTTGATCGCGCATGTCATCCCATGTCAAATGGGCCTCTAATTTCTCCAGATGTCCACCCCATGCCCATCCCACCACGGCGTGTCTCCAATGGAGCATCATGGCAGGGTCGTCAATGTTGTGTTCAGCCATGGCTTGGATCAAGAGCGGCACGTTCTTGCCAGAAATAGGTCCGTGGACACAGGTTGGCTGCCAAGGCAGCATCCACATCACATAGAGTGTCTCATCAATCTCACAGCCGCATGATTCAATGATAGAGACAATGTCTGTGGCATGGGACAACTTGGCAACGGTATAGCACATCATCATCACGGCCACCTTGAGGTGCTGGTTGGCCTTGTCCAAGTGTTGAGCGAGGTACGTGACAAATGCCTGCGCATCCTTTGACAAAATGCACAGGACCATTCTGTGTCCAGTGGGATAGTGCACAGGAGACCAGTTGATGGGATTCAGCCACAAGCGCAACTTGGGAGAGATGTGGTCATTCACAAATTCACCCTCACAAGACCTCTCGCAATCGGTCGCCCATCTTTTGCTTGCACCTTGGTTCTCTCTATTATTGCCATTGTTGTTATTGTTATTGTTGCTGCTGCTGCTGCCATCATCATATGGTCTCTTTTTGCAAAGGCACTGTTCAATTTCCATGTTGCCAGCTGTGCAATGAATGCCAAAGTATACACCAGGGGCATTTATATCCACTGCAATAATTTTTCTGCACCAGACCACCCGATCGGCACTTTTTGCCAATAAAATGTGGCGCCATAATGATGTAATATCAATTTGACAGGACGATGCCATTAAAATAGACTCTGGCGTTAGAAATCAAGGCGACACACACAACACAATAGACTTTACGTTGCTGCATCATGCACACACACATGACAGACTTTATCACTGATTCATCTGGTGGGCGCAAGTGGGTCATCAACAACAAGGTCATTCACACATACGTGCCCAGAACTGTGGATCCCACCGATTTAGCGCTTGCTCTTGCCAACCGACGCAAGGATCTCATGACAGTCTCTTTCAACTGGGCGGTCAATGTGCTGGACGCATCATTTATTGACTTGGAATTTGACAACGAGAACTATCTGCACATTCTGGACTGGGCACAACACCTGGGCAAGGCAAAGACGTATGGCGATGTGCATGATTTGTTGGCTGACTGGCCAAGTGGTCATACTGTAATGGAGATGTATGGCAATTGCCTAGTTGTCTGTTCAAGCAATGCTCATGGCCAAATTGAATAAGACTCGGATCATCTGGCATCGGTGGCGTCCATTCTTTGCTGTCTCCCATGGGTATGCGGTTGAGGTGGCATAAAAAGCTGCGCTTGCCCTTGATGGGAGTGAATCCGTGACCCATGTTGGAAATGATACACATTCTGTGATCGCGATCAACCAAGATGAGAATGCTGCCACAATTAAAATAACCCTTGTGCATGGGTATTGTGACGCTGTATGTCCACAGTGCATATGGCCTCCTCTTGTTGCTTTCAGGCCAGTGAATGTCCCACTCTATTCCATCGCAGTTGAGCACTTGACAGAGGAACTTGCGGCAGGAAGATGGCCATAGCGTGATGTAATAATGGCCCGATCGGTAGGAAATGGAGAGGTGCGGAGAATTGTGTGGTAGGCAAATCTGGTCTTGACAAGAAATTGCGGCTCTTGCGCGGTGGGTTCATCTGGCGGGAAGATGGGTGTGCCGGGCGCATATACCAGATTGTTCTTGCCTCTGATATACGCTGGGATGCCATAGACAGTATTGTTGTTGCCAAATATCTTGTTGAATTGACCATGGATGATATTTTCCGGCCCGGTGACTTTGTTGCGATTGCCCGTCACCGTGGCGCGGGTGCTCCTTATGGAATTGTGATGACCTTCGACAGTGACACCAATACCGCTGATGTGATTATAGTCACCGATAATGGTGACATTGTCTTGCATGATGGTCATTCTGTCGGCATACACAATGGTGTTGTGCACAGACATTTTTTTTCACCAATGGAAATCACCAGACGCGCGCTACGCGGGACGATTTTGCAACAATCATCACATTATATTCCAGCTTCTCTTTTAATTTTTTACAGGGAAGGAAGTTATCACATCGCCCCGCACACACAAAACACGCGCCTGCACTTTGTGCACTGTTGTTCGTGCCGGTGTTGACGGTGCAGCGTATCTGCCTGTGTCATGATGTCGTTGTATTCCCACCCGCCGGGTGTTATGCCATTAACATGAACAAAGAGTTGCAGATTGCGCTGACGATCCTTGCCCGTGGTGGTGTCAAGAATGCGCGCCACCTGTATGGCCATCTTGTCCCTCTGACAAATCTCCATTTAACCAGTCTGCCATAATTTTGTATTCCGCGTGCGACGTGCAAGTTCAAGTGTCTCTGGACACATGACATGGTCGGTGATGATCATAATGCTTGGATACTTGTGGAAAATGCGAGCACAGTTCCTTCTTGTCTCTGGAATAAATTCTCAAGGCCTCTGCTTGCAAGAGATAGTAGTCTGCCACTTGATCGTCGGATGTAAAATTACGCACCTGATTTTATGAAATGATCCCAACTCAGCAGATCTGAGTCACGATTCCTCCCATCGCCAGGAATGAAGCATGCGCGAATTGACATCTTCTCCTTTCTTGCCAAGTTGATGAGCAGCAGCATTTGTTCTTTCGAATACTGCTTGGCGTACTAGTATCACGCTGATTTCTGCAATCACCAATATGTGTCATGCTGATTTCTGTTGCGCTGATTTTACGGACATTAAATTGTGTCACGTTGATTTCTGTGAATGTGTCACAGTGATTTCTAACTTTTTACACTCTGGCGCATGATTTTTATTTGACCCGGCGTGTGTTTTCATCCAGTCAATATTAAAGATGTCTGTCCTATGGAAGGCACTGTTCAAAGGATGGCATCCTCTCACTGCAGAAGAGCACCAAAAGGCTTTGCCGTCTTCATCGAGTTCACGCCTACGCGATGAACTCAGTGGCCTGTGTGTCCGAGTGTGGCCTCCCAACAGACGTTGCTACTACCTGATTGATTTCACACAGAGCGCCAAGATTCAGTTCACCATGCATGACAAGTCCCAGGGATCCGTGATATCTCTCCCTCTCTACGAGAACAACAAGACGTGCGAATCGCATGGCACAGAGGACTCATCACATATGCTGTGTCTGCCAATGATTTTTATAAATTCCACATCGTCATCCGGTGGGTGTGATGCAATCGGTCTGGCGACGGAGGTGCACATGGGCGACAAAAAAAGTGTCCTATATGGAGATGGAAATTTTTCACTGTCAAGCATAACCTCGTGTCGCTTGTGTATAAAAACACCTGTTCTCTCTCTTTCTGCCTTTTTCCATACCACTCCAAGCACATGCAATCCACCATGAGCACAGTGATTGGACCATTTTGTGAGGCCAGCGCAAAAAAAATCCCCTTGGTAGAAATCGGTGCGGTGATCACCCTTACACGTGAACAGCTGGCTGAATGTACCCGCATGTCCATTGAGCGCAACAACGCCAACAAGGCGAACAACACCAAGAACTGAAAGTACGCCCATCAGAGGACTGATGAGGAAATAGACATGCAGGGTGTGGTGGGAGAGTATGCATTTTCTCTTCTCTCTGGCGTGCCCGTTGAGATCTATGACGTTGGCTGTTGCAACGCCGCGTCCGAA